TATTATTACAGTCGAGTGAATTCCCTTTCTGCTCACGTGTATCGTCATCCACAGGTCATTTAGCGACTTTCATGCATATCCATTATCCAAATAAACCTTTGAAACCGAAGGCCGAGAATGAATGAAACAGCAAACGTGCAGGCTCGCTCGCCTGTTTTTTTTCTGCTCGTCTCGGTTCAACTTTCATGTCTTCGGGTTTCATTTCTAACTAGCATTTTTCCAACAGTAATGTTCGAATCTAGCGGTAACTGACTATGCCATTTGAAACAGCCGCCTTCTCCCGGACATATTTGTTCCGGCTCGTTACAGTCTGACTGTCGCAGTCCTTCTCGCCTCTTTAAATTTCCTTGATTGACAGGTCTTATGCGGATTCATACAGTTTGCACATCGGTTTTTCGATTCACACCTCAATGAACCGAAAAATATACACAGTCAATCCTTTATTGACATGGCCAGATACCAACAGCAGTCATCAGCAGCGAGCAGAGTGTTGAAAGTGTGTATGACATTGCAGACATTGACGTGTAGAATACAAACATGTCAGAACTGACTTTGACATGATCAATACATTCATGTCATTACATGCATTGACGTGTTGAATACAATCGTGTCACTACTGACTTTGACGTGTTGAAATCATTCATGATGTTATGGACTTTACCAGTCTATGTTCATAACGTAGTGGAGGCAGTATGCCCATTCTTCAGTTACATCATTGCTTAAGAGAGTAACAGCACGTATACATTCATAGATTGATATGCATTGTTCACCAAAATGATTGTCATAGTTGCATTGGTTCATATACAAATTTGGAAAATATTTTAACAATTTCTGCATTTTTTAAAAGACATTAGTAAGTTAGATTTATGTAATGTTGGATAGAAGTATTATTTTGAGGATATATGCAAACTCCTGGAATTGCCATCAGCATAGCATACAAGTACAGAATGGTATTCAACCTCTTTGTATCTTTGTTTGCTTACATGACACATTCTACCTGATTTTACTTCTTAAACATATCTGCCATATCTATTTCAATTCGGAGCTGGAGTGAAGAACATCTAAGTGGAGCTAATGCAGCACGGAAATTTAAAATGGAAATTTGAAAGAAGGTTATCAATTTATAACTGGAAAAAATGTGCTGCATGCCAATCTTGCTCCTAGGATGATTTCAGTCTTTTTTCAAACTCAGATATAAAACTAGATACATTTTATACAAGTTCTTGTTACCAGACATATCCGAAACCAAACATGTATAAAATGTCTTTGATATATAAAGCCAAGTTAGTCTTTTTTCTATTCACACAATCTAGAACTAATAAGTTGTAACATTTCTTCACACATCTGGTGTTAGGCATTGTAATTACACCAGTATTCAACAGGCCTTTAATATATGCATATAGACCATGGGATATCGTCCACTTTCACCCCTAACTACATGGTTTAAGGACGATGTTATACACGAAAGAAACGTTTAAAAGCAAATATTTGTACTGTTTCGATTTCTTTGTGAATATCCAGTTCCCATATTTCTTAACCATAATGTAAAAGTGGACTAATTTTGTGGCGTCAAAAATGTAAAAACATAGGTTACATGTGAGTGGCTTAATCACATACACAGATTTGAATACACCACAAAGAATCTTCTTCACATGTATAGCAGCATTACCAGCGTTTTGAGACCATGATAAGGAACTTGCGAAAACAACACCTACATATGTATCGAATTGAGCAGTTTCAAATACAAATATCATTTTTCATGTTTGGATAGTATACCGCTATTTTTAAAAAGCAACATGTTTCGTTTATTCACAGAAACATTCAAAAGCGTTAATACGTTTTTGTAAACCATAAACAGCATCTGCAAAGAAAATAGAAATAGTTGTATAATATTCAGATGCATTTGTATCGCATGTTCACAGTTTGAGTCGATTTCTGAAGCTAACTCATTTATAAACATGGAACACACATCATTGTCTCTCACCTAATTGACAATCAAAATCTTGTGATAGATATTTGTATTCGGGTACCTTTACACGCTTACAGATGTATGTGAGAGCATTAAACATTTACGGTGAAACGCCTCTTCGTTTCAGTGCAGACCATAGCTTAAATCTATCAACAATATCAAATGCTTTTCTTACATCAACGAATATGGCATCAAGCTTGGTTTTCTTGATATATAAGGGCGGTCGGGTAGCCTAGTGGTTAAAGCGTTCGCTGTCATGCCGAAGACCTAGGTTCGATTCCCGACATGGGTACAATGTGTGAAGCCCATTTCTGGTGTCTCCCGCCGAGATATTACTGGAATATTGCTAAAAGCGGCGTAAAACCGTACTCACTCACTCACTCACACTATTGTACAACACAAAATGGCAATGCATGTTATATTATATGTTCAGGCTTTGAAACACATATCTACCCTCTAGACATCATAACATAACATTTGTGTCCTATATTATCAATATTATGTAGCTGTACAACTTGACGTTTGCATGAAAAGGTCAACTTTGAATTTCATTCATCTGAATCAATATGAATAGTACATCGTTGTGTCGAACTCTGATGTGTCAGATTTACGGTCAGATTCCTTCAAACTTCTCATTATTTAACCTCTGATAAGTCAAAGTGGATGTGTCGAAGTTTAGCTAGTCAATCATATTTATTTTTTAAAATGTGCAAACAAGGGAATTGATGCCTTCAATCTGAATAACATTCCCGCAATATTTTAAATTTCAATAACCACTCACATTTTTTCCCACCCGAAAACAATTTCTTCCAGGTTGTTCACTCTCAGGAACGTGCTGCAAAACCTGGACATGGCAGCTCATGATGTAAATTCAACTGCTTGTGGCTGCCAAGACTCATCATACTGCTACAACCTACAGTTCATATAATCACAGGTGATTTCTCCAATGTTGACAATAACAACCTTCGTCAGTTAGTCAAATATGGACCCAAATACCATGAGCATCCTCCTACCGATTGGGATCACAACTTTATAATAATTATATATCCATGATAATTATGACTGTTGTGATGAATGTGCCAAAAAGGGGCCAAAAGAGAATAGGAACCTGTTGAATGAATGTGGGTTAAGTCAGTGCGTGATGTTATCATTGGTAGAATACACAAACTTAAAAAGAGGAAACGGAATTGGTATAAACCGATTCTGTCCCAGCCAGCTGTCATCCAACGTCTGGCTGCCCTACATACGAAGGTCGTAGTTGTTCCCACTGACAAGGTCTCAGATAACATAACCATTAAATGTGAGTGAGTGAGTTGGGTTTAACGCCGCTTTTAATAGTATTCCAGTTATATTGCGGCGTATCAGCTTAATGTGGGAGGAAAGCCCGAAGTGATGCAAGTCTCAGACATTTACCACTTCGGTGACACCCACGAGCACGGGTATGGTGCTAACAAGCCTAGAAACATAATCGGGGCGAACTGGGATTCGAACCCACAATAATAGATTTGAGCATTGCGGGGCCTAAGACGACTGGGCCACCTGTGCCCCCCTCCATTATATGTAAGCATCACTATATTCATTGTTTGATCAGAGAACTTGGTATACTATATACGTGACACATCAAATAATGTCAATTACAAGGCCGGTTTGTTAACTGAGGACGAAATTTGCCCAAACCATAAGTACGTCAGAACTGTAAACTTTTGGCTTGACTCTAAAACCTGAAGACATGTCCATTCCTCTTTTGTGCTGGATTTCAAAGCTCCATAAAGATCCGTACAAAGAGAAATATATTACTGGGTTCAGCAAATGTTCCACCAAATCCCTGTCTCAAAGACTAACCATAATCCTTAATACAATAAAGGAAGGACTTTCTTTATATTCACAGAAAGTATTTGAGAAAAGTGGAATTAATACCATGTTGATTCTCAAAAACGCAAAGGATTTGCTTGACGTTTTGCATTCTCAGAAAAGAACCACGCTCCATTCTCGCAAAATATCTCGTTTCACAACTTTGTACATCACTATCCAAATGGACAAAGTTAAGGGAAAACTCCATTCCTTGATCTATGGGGCTTTTGTTACAAAACGTGGTGACCACAGATACAGTTATATATCTATATTCGGAGGTTCAAGACTATTTGTGAAAAATTAAAGCCATTGCCATCTGAAGTGTAGTGAGAAGACAATACGTGAAATGCTGAACATCCTCACTGACAATAGCTACCTAAAATTTGGGTGTAAGAAATTAGGCAAGAAGTAAAGTTATTAAGATGTAAGCATAAAGATTCAGATTGACAAAACTCTCCATAAGACTCGATGACAAGAGATGGCTTCAACTTTCCACTCGTCAACTTTCCCTATATGTTGAGCAATATTCCAGCAGCTCCAGCCTTTGGTGATTATATTTCACACTTTTGGAGATACAATCGAGCAAGTTCTCTCTTCAAATATTTCAAAGAGCGTGAAGTTTGATCAAGGTTATAACATTCAAGGCCTCAGTAAAGTTTTCAAAAGGCTTCATGGTAGACATGTTGTGGACATTTCCAAATTTGGCGCGTAAGTGACAAAAAGTATGTCCAATGCAATCACCTATTATGACTTGTACCATATGTTTCCGTGGTTTTTTATCAGGTGAAGTATTGACTTGCCTTTGCATGTGTTTGTGACGGGTGCCACTGGTGGGACAGGATATGCTGACCTTTTTGCGAACGCCTGGTCTCATTACTATTTGATAGTGGATCATAAACACATGCACATGGTATAGTCTGAATCGTACAATTGACACTAGATGTTTCTTTTGGCTATGCTGAGGGTTTACACTTCAATGTTAGTAACAGCGTTCAACACGTCAATGTCCGTAACAACATCAATGTAATAAACACGTCAATATCCGTCATGCCATGATTTTATTCCACATGCCAATGTCAGTAACAACATGAATTTATACTACACTTCAATGTCTGTAACAACATCAATGTATTCAAAACGCGAACGTCATAACTGTATTCAACACATGTCTGCGCAAACATTACATGAGAGCACCATGTGACAGAAGAAGATCAAGCATGTCTCCTCGATCCTGGGATATTGCTATCTTGGCTGCTGTTTGTCCTTTTTTATTTTTGGCGTTGATGCCCACCTTGTCCTGTGTGAGGATATATTTCACCACCTCCAAATGTCCTCCCCGACAGGCAAGATGAAGAATGTTTTCACGCCTTTGATTCACGAGTGACACATCAGCTCCTTCACCCACGAGTAACTCTACCAGTTCTTTATGTCCACGCAATGCTGCCACCATCACTGGTGTCCTCTTCTGCCATCCTCTACTGTTGATACGCACCATGTATTGTGAGAGGACATACTTGACCACCTCCACATGTCCTCCCCGACAGGCAAGATGAAGGACGCTGTCACGCCCGTGAGTAAGGATTGACAAGTCAGCTCCTTCACCCACGAGTAACTCTACCACTTCTTTATGTCCATTCTCTGCTGCCACCATCACTGGTGTCCTCTTCTGCCATCCTCTACTGTTGATGCGCACCATGTCTTGTGAGAGGACATACTTGACCACCTCCACATGTCCTCCCCGACAGGAAAGATGAAGAATGTTGTCACCCTTTTCAGATACGAGTGACACATCAGCTCCTTCAACCACGAGTAACTCTACCACTTCTTTATGTCCGCGCAATGCTGCCGCCATCACTGGTGTCCTCTTCTTACATCCTCTACTGTTGATGTCCTCCATGTCATGTGAGAGTATATATATCACCATCTCAACCTCTCCTCCCCAACAGGCACAGTGAAGGATGTTGTCACCTCTTTTATTTACGAGTGACATGCTGGATCCTTTACTAACAAGTAACTCAACCACTTCTCGGTGCCCATTACCAGCTGCCAACATCACCGGTGTCCAACCAATCCACTCTTTGCACTTAATGTCCGCCCGTCCCTGGGACAAGATGAGTTTCAACTTTGACAGGTTCCCGGTTTCGGAGGCGATGTGGAGTTCGCAGAACGATGGTGCTGTAATATGAAGTTTTAGTCTGTACGTATCTTTGGCATTTTAGAGTTAAAGGGCTGAAGTTGCAAGACATTATCTAAGGGCGATAAAGCGAGTGTCTTTGTTTAGTCATCAGGACTGTTAACATGAACACCTTATGTCCGCATATTGTCAATGGACGAAATAACGATGGAGATCGGATAGATACTGATTACTTGGTGTGCACTTCGTAAGAGTCGAGATGTATAACTGAACATCCCACCACATGGCAACTTTTCTGAAGTGCATGTAGTATTATCCTCTGTGGTGCGAGAACGCGATGTACAGCTCCAAGGGCCAGCTTTTTGATGATGGCAAACGTGTGGATGGTCCACTTTTAGGGCACAGCACTTACACGCAGTTTAAGTAAACAAACAGATCAGTCGCGAGCAGTTGCAATGGTGGCTTCGGCTAATTTGCAGTATCAGCAATTGGGTATGTCAAATTATTCAAAACTTGTTTGTCTTATAAAGTGTATGTACTAAAAGAGGAAGAACAATCGAAGGAATAGTTTGTGAGAATATTCATACAGAGATAATTAAGCTGAGATTTCTTCCAACATTAACATTTATTTTTTCAGGTTCTGAAAATAGTAGAATGGTGTATTGTAATTGAATCTATCTGGGATTCCTTGTCATCACAAAACATCAACCATGTTCAAAATCCCTTTAATGATGAACTTGCCGCACAGCAACAACATTGCTCTCTGCAACATGGAACTTTTGAAAATGTCAAGTTTACACAAAATAAGAAAATTAAATGTGAGCGCTGACCCTGCACGCAATTTATGCTAAACATCCTGCTAGAGAGGACCGCTATAACGCGAATAGGACACACGAGGCAATGATTATTCAACTTTGCAGTAAATGTAACAAATTAACAGTTACTGACAATAGCCCATTAATACTATGTCATATTGATGTTTCTGTACCTGAAGAGTTGATATCGGCCGTGTTCCACACTGCTGTACATTTAAATACTCAATCAATACAATGATAAATAAAAGCGACAAAGGAAATCTCTGCCCAAACCCTTTAATTTTTTGCAACATGTATAATCATTATACTACATGCACATAAGCATGAACGTAATATTTTCTCAATTGGTGTCAACCTTGACAGTTCACTATTAATTTAGAGTTTTGTAATCAGTTTAACTCAATCAGCACTGACTTGTTAATATTCCATTCAAATTCAATATCCATGTATTTAAATCGAGCATGCTCATTCTACCAAGATTTTACTGTGCGTCATACGACTATTGTCCAGAAGTTTGTTCAAGTTTACAATATTCAAGGCCTCAGTAAAGCTTTCACAAGGTTTTATGGCATCAGTGGCAAGACTTATGTACGATGCAATTCCTTATTTGGACTTGTACCATATGTTCCATGTGTTTTTTCAGGATAATTATTGATTTGCCTTTGCATGTGTTTGAGATGGTGGGGCAGAATGCGCTCACCTTTTAGCGATCGCCTCGTGCCATTACCATTTGATAGTGCTTCGTAAACACATGCTCATGATTGAGTCGGGAATCGTGAAATCGCTCTGCTTTTGGCACAGATTTCCTATGAATAATTATGGAAAGTGTTTTGTTGCTTTTATTTTCTACACTTCTCACCTTGCGCACAGCCCTTCCCACATCCCTTCTCCAAACATTGGGAAGTCTGATTGCAGACCTCGGATCCACAGGGTTTAGCCGGGGCCTTTAGACAGCAATAAAACAAATAAATGATTTCTATGATTTCTATAAATATGTAGTGTAGGGGTCGATATATGTCGATACATGACGTTTAATGTAAGGTGTAACATGGTCCTTAAGCCATTATACAAGCAATGCAAAGTAATGCCTCTAGAAACATCGGTCAGTTCTTCGTTTGTTACTTATCACACCAGCCGGCATTGTTTTCAGGCAAAGTGTGGACCTTCAACAATGACTTTCCCGGGAGTTATGGCTTTTCTGATATGAAATTGCATCACAGTGCTTCCCAAGCCATTGTCATCGGTTACCATGATGTCACAATCAAATGACTATCCTACTAAATTCTTTGTGACTGAAGGCAGTTAACAATGATACCACCTCCGCGTAGAGCGGAATGTCTGGGATTCGATCCCCGACCGCATCATACCAATGACGCAAAAAGGGGGTACACGCACAGACACACGCACATATACACAAACACACATACACACATATGCACACATGTCTAGACAAGGGTAATCCTAGACGCGGTTTTAAATCTCATTTCACCTCACATTTTACACTCAAGATTATTGATTACAAACTGGATTTGTTGTGAGAAGATATTTATTATCTAACTCTCCCGTTTGTTGATTTCAATAGTCACCTGGAGGTTTTCTGTCATCAACTCGTGCTGTTATATTTCATATCAAAAGATGCTCGGTGACTTTATGTCTCCTTCGTAAACAATCATGACTTCTGACTATTGGTATAGCACAGTTACACTTGAACTCACATTCACTGTCAATCACTGACAAAAATCTAAAATTCCCTGTAGCTAACAAAATTGTCTTCTTTGACTCTTGGTGAAATAGGAGATCTTGGTCGAATGTGGAGCGAGTGTCACAGCTTTGTATATACTCATTTACACAACTACACATCTGTACACATGTACATACACACTGACACACACCTCCACACGCTTCCTCCTGCACATATCTAAACACACTGACACACACCTCCACACGCTAACTCCTGCACATATCTAAACACACTGACACACACCTCCACCACGCTAACTCCTGCACATATCTAAACACACTGACACACACCTCCACACGCTTCCTCGTGCACATATCTAAACACACTGACACACATCTACACATATCTACACACGTCTACACGCACTTACACACATCTACACATATCTACACACATCTACATACACTGACACACATCTACACATATCTACACACATCTACATACATCTACACACACTGACACACCAACAGACAACACCAACAGACATATTTATACTCACCGACACACATCAAGTGCTCACAGACACATGCATCTACACATACAGTAGACTACGGTTATAACGAACTCGAGGGGACCACTTATTTTAGTTCGTAATAACCGTAGTTCGTTATGAGCATACATACATCATATATACAACAAATGGCCGGGAGTAAAAATAAGTCCGTTATATCCGTCAGTTCGTTATAAGCGTGTTCGTTACAAACGTAGTTTACTGTATATACACACGCATGTACACATTTAGGTACACTGATACACGTCAATATACACCCTACTTGACATAACTATAACTTACATGTGGATGAGTTTCAGGACGAACGCTGGATCCGCCCGTCTTCTCAATCTTCTGGGATTCATCATTTGATTGGCGACATGATGCGGAAATAAAAATATCATTGATACATTCAAGATGGCACAACTCGATGTCAATATTTCTGAAAATGACAGATCTGTCCTTCATTTTATCTGTCATCTGAAGTCTACATTCCTTTGTGCTGCACGTGGAAAGTACATGTACCAACATGATGTAAACAGTTGTTGCTAAAGCTAGCTGCAGACTGCTTCTTGAAACCAGCGTCATCATCTTGAACTGTTAACAGGGGAGTGCAGGATCCACACGCTAAGGCGACTGCCGGAGACTGCACTTGAACGGTTACGCTATCACCAGCAGCAGTTGTTTTCGGGACATCACGTGACATTTTACACATGACGACGATGACTCTCAAGCGATCAATATGATGCACATGTTTAAACAATTGCAGACACCAGCAATAGAGATTCAGATACCTTCACTTGGTGCAAGCTGTAAAATGAATGTTGCTGCAGTTAATTACAGTCTATCACTATTATTGAGTAAATGGGATTTAGCGAAGTGCGAGCAATATTCCAGTTATGCTTCGATATGGGAAACAACAAATAAGCTTTACAGTATATCTTTTTGAAATTCCATTCATATAGTTAGTGCTTTACTACCATCATCCCTAAAATCCCATCCTCGACATCCACACAACTGAAATCTCCATCAACCTACACAATCATCACCCCAACTATTCTTTCACCTACTCCACCATCAACACAACAGTCTCATCACCTAAAGCACCATCAACCCAAAGTTTCCATCACCTGAACAACCGTCATCCCTTCTATCCTATCACTTACTCCACCATGAACCCAACAGTCACATCACCTACACCACCATGAACCCAACAGTCACATCACCTACACCACCATGAACCCAACAGTCAAATCACCTACACCACCATGAACCCAACAGTCACATCACCTACATCACCATGAACCCAACAGTCACATCACCTACACCACCATGAACCCAACAGTCACATCACCTACACCACCATGAACCCAACAGTCACATCACCTACACCACCATGAACCCAACAGTCACATCACCTACACCACCATGAACCCAACAGTCACATCACCTACACCACCATGAACCCAACAGTCACATCACCTACATCACCATCAACCCCAAAATTCCATCCAGAACATCACGACCACAACAGTCATCATCATCATCATTTATTGTATTCAGGCCATAGGCCCATATACATACAATAATATTATATCTATACAATTTTGTACATGTACAAGTATAAACATGCAGACTTATATGCACAGAGATGTGCACGTGTACAATTTTTTGAAAATATATCGCATCACAACACAACAAGAAGAAATTAAAGCATTTGATTAATAAAGGCAAAAGTCATGGTTGCGAAGTCATAAACCATAATTAATGTATAGGATAGTATTCTTTTGTTGCTCGTTAGATATTTCATCAAAACGGAGGAGCTTGATAAGTGTATTGATGTTTTGGAGTAAACCTTGGAAATATTTTGTTCTGAGCTATTCATAACATGGACATATAAGCATAAAGTGGTATTCGTTTTCAATAAATGTGAGGCAAAAAGGACAAAAACGCATATTTTTTTAAACTGAGGAAAAACGACCCGTATTACATACTTAATTGTTCAAACCTAATCTAAAACGTGTAAAACACACTCTAAGTTTTCTGTCTGTTATTTCTCTTAAGTACTGTTTTCTGCAGATAAGCAGGATTTAAATGTTTTATAAAGGTCGTATCTTGAACTATTTTCCAATGTAGCTCTCCATTCTTGGATAAACATATCAGATGCAACTTGTTTAAATACACTAACAAACGCATTTCATAACATTTACGTGGAATACGATCAGGTGATATTTTTGTAATCTTTAACCAATATTTTAGACTGCGTACATAAGAACAGATATACAGTTACATCATCTACACCACCATCACGCCAAGATTCCTATCAACTACACCAACCATTCTTCTCATTGCCGCAGTTTATGTGGAGGTTCATGGCGTTCACCGTTTAAATTAGCAAAAAGGTCAACAAGAAGACAAAAGAATTCACAGGCATAACAGTTAACTATTCAGTAGTGCATCCGTTTATCAGCACACGGCTTCTGAAATTTTCATCTAACGCCTCAATATCGTTGAATATTTTTACCCTTATTGCCAAATTATCACATTTTGTCTATTTAAGGATTCATATGCCATTTCGAAAGTACGTAAAGGCCACAAACGAGAGTCATTAATAGCTGAAATCGTTGTCACATGATCAAAACACAACCACCCATTCTTGACTACATCCAGCTCGCCCTTGATAAAATTCCGGAAAAAGGATATCGTATATCACATTTTTTCTTTAACCAAATGGAATGGTTTTCAGGAGGGGTCAATAACAAAACCCTAATACAGTACGGCATTTCGTTTGAACCCGGTGTAGACGTGCATAGGATATAATCTATCGCATATTCATATCAAATAGCACATAGCACGAATGGGAAAACACCAGTCACATAACACATACCACACAACAACATCACAGAACACCTATCAAATAACACATATCATAACTCACATATCTTTTCAACAGAACGTGTATCTACGTACACCCTGGTAAATGTGACAAGGTCCACATTTCACCCAATCATTTAAAGACTTCTTCATACTGGAATACACCAATTCCAAAGTCACAGGATCATTACATGTGTAGCTACATCTATTTACGAGTTTTATACCTTACAAAAACTTAGACTTTTTTCGGAATTGTATCCAGGGCGAGTTGAATGTAGTCAAGAATGGGTGGTTGTGTTTTGATCATTTGACAACGATTTCAGCTATTAATGACTCTCGTAAATCTTTCCGAAAACCAACGTGTGTGGCCTTTTTATACTTTCATAATGGCATGTGATTCCTTAAACAGACAAAACGTGATAATATGGCAATAAAGATAAAAAATATTCATCAATATTGAGGCGTTAGATGAAAATTTCAGAAGCTGTGTGCTGATAAACGGATGCACTATTAAATAGTTAACTGTTATGCCTGTGATATTTTCTTGCCTTCTTGTTGACCTTTTTACTAATTTAAACGGTGAACGCCATGAACCTCCACATAAACTGCGGCAATGAGAAGAATGGTTGGTGTAGTTGATAGGAATCTTGGCGTGATGGTGGTGTAGGTGACGGGACTGTTGGGGTCGTGATGTTGTTGATGGAATTCTTTGGTTGATGGTAATGCAGGTGATGTGACTGTTGGGCTGATGGTTGTGTAGATGATAGGATAGAAGGGATCATGGTTGTTTAGGTGATGGAAACTTTGGGTTGATGGTGCTTCAGGTGATGAGACTGTTGTGTTGATGGTGGAGTAGGTGAAAGAATAGTTGGGGTGATGATTGTGTAGGTTGATGGAGATTTCAGTGGTGTGGATGTTGGAGATGGGAGTTTGGGGATGATGGTAGTAAAGCACTAACTATATGAATGGAATTTCAAAAAGATATACTGTAATGCTTATTTGTTGTTTCCAATATCGAAGCGTAACTGGAATATTGCTCGCACTTCGCTAAATCCCATTTACTCAATCAAAGTGATAGACTGTAATGAATTGCAGCAACATTCATTTTACAGCTTGCACCAAGTGAAGGTATCTGAATCTCTATTGCTGGTGTCTGCAATTGGTTAAACATGTGCATCATATTGATCGCTTGAGAGTCATCGTCGTCATGTGTAAAATGGCACGTGTTGTCCAGAAGACAACTGCTGCTGGTGATATCTTAACCGTTCAAGTGCAGTCTCTGGCAGTCGCCTTAGCGTGTGGATCCTGCACTGTCCTGTTAACAGTTCAAGATGATGACGCTGGTTTCAAGTAGCAGTCTGCAGCTGTTTTTAACAACTGTTTACATAATGTTGGCACTGTCCACATGCAGCACAAAGGAATGTAGACTTCAGATGACAGATAAAATGAAGGACAGATCTGTCATTTTCAGAAATATCGAGTTGTGCCAACTTGAATGTATCAATGATATTTTTATTTTCGCATCATGTCGCCAATCAAATGATGAATCCCAGAAGATTGAGAAGACGGGCGGATCCAGTGTTCGTCCTGAAACTCATCCACATGTAAGTTATAGTTATGTCAAGTATATTGACGTGTATTAGTGTACCTAGATGCGTTCATGCTTGTGTACATACAGATGTATGTGTAGATGCATGTGTCTGTGTATACTTGATGTGTGTCGGTGTGTATAAATATGTGGAAGTGTTTGTCGGTGAGTGTAGATGTATGAAGATGTGTGTCCATATGTATAGATGTGTGTTTCGGTTTGTAGAGTTGAGTGGATGCGTGTCCGTGTGTGTAAATGTGTGTCGGCGTGTGTATGTGTGTGTCAGTGTGTGTAGATGTGTGTAGATATGTGCACGTGGAGGCGTATGGAGGTGTGTGTCAGTGTATGTGCATGTGTGTACAGATGTGTAGTTCTGTATATGTGCGTGTAGATGTGTCTGGATATGTGTGTACATGTGTATATGTGTGTGTATATGTGTGTCAGTGTGTTTAAGTATGTGTACGCGGAGGCGTGTGGAGGTGTGTTGCGGTGTAGATGTGTGTGTAGATGTGTGTAAATGTGACTCAGTGTGTGCACGTGGAGGCATGTGGAGGTATGTGTCAGAAAGTCAAACTTTATGTTAAAGGAAATTGTTTGGCAGACACCCGAGATCTCCCGATGTCAGATGTTCAAGAAACGAATTTCTTCTGCAAATAAAAAATAGCCATACCATGTAATGTAGCTAGATTTAATTGAATTTGGCAGCATGATAATACCCCACACACATCTCAATACAATCAAACAGCAACCTAGGGTACGTAGATGTGACACTCGCTCGACATTCGACCGTGACCTTCTGTTTCGCAGTTGAAGGAGACAAATTTGTTAGCCACTGGGAATTTTAGATTTTTGTCGACGATTGACAGTGAATGTGAGTTCAAGCCAGAAGTAATGAAGGAGACATAAAGGAGACATAAAGTCACCTAGCATATTTTGATATGAAATATAACAGCACGAGTTAATGAAAGAAACCTCTGGATGACTGTTGACATATGTGATATCGAATATATGTTAGTTAATATATATCACCCAAAATCGCTCTTCTAACAACAAATCCAGTTTGTAATCAATAATATGCCTTGTCTTGAGTGTAAAAAGTGAGATGAAATTAGCTTTAAAACCGCGTCTAGGATTACCTCTGTCTACAATTGTGTGTGTGTGTCTGTGCGTGTGTGCGCGCGTGTATATGTATATCTGTGTGTGAGTGCGTGTGCGTGAGTGTATGTGTACGTGCGTGTGTGCTCTTGTAGTCGTTCAAACTGATGTCTGTTTTATCTTCCTATCCCACTGATGTACCGTGCCCAAGGTTTAACATGAATACCCCACTCAATCAAAAGATAGTACAGCTGTACAGCCTTATTAAATCCTGTCAATGCCGAGCGTCGAGAAGGGTAACAACAAGTTCCCCCTTTCTCGTCTTTGGCATGACGCGGTCGGGGATCGAATCCCAGACATTCCGCTCTACGCGGAGGCGGTATCATTGTTAACCGGGTTCAGTCACAAAGAAATTAGTAGGATAGTCATTTGTTTGTGACATCACGGTAACCGATGACAATGGCCTGGAAAGCACTGTGATGAAATTTCAAATCAGCAAAGCCATAACTCCCGGGAAAGTCATTGTTGAAGGTCCACACTTTGCCTGAAAACAATGCCGGCTGATGGATAAGTAACACACGAGAACTGAGCGATGTTTCTAGAGGCATTGCTTTGCATTGCTTGTATAATGGCATAAGGACCATGTTACACCTACAATAAACGTCAAATATCGACATATATCGACCCCTACGCTACATCAGAAAGAAATCATACATAGACTCTTTGTTTTTTATTGCTGTCTAAGGCCCCAACTAAATACTGTGGATCCGAATTCTGCAATCAGACTTCCGAATGTTTGGAGAACGGATGTGCGAAGGGCTGTGTGCAAGGTGAGAAGTGTAGAAACAAAACACTTTCCATATTCATAGGAAATCTATGCCCAAAGCAGAGCGATTTCACGATTCCCGACTCAACCATGTGCATTTGTTTATGAAGCACTATCAAATGGTAGTGGCACGAGGCGATCGCGAAAAGGTGAGCGCATTCTGCCCCATCGTTACAAACACATGCAAAGGCAAATCAATATTTATCCTGAAAAAACACATGGAACATATGGTACAAGTCCAAATAAGGAATTGCATCGTACATAAGTCTTGCCACTGATGCCATAAAACTTTGTGAAAGCTTTACTGAGGCCTTGAATATTGTAAACTTGATCAAACTTCAGTCGTATGACGCACTGTGAAATCTTGGCAGAATGAGCATGCTCGATTTAAATACATGGATATTGAATTTGAATGGAATATTAACAAGTCAGCGCTGATTGAGTAAAAATCATTACAAAACTTTAAAATAATAGTGAACTGTCGAGTTGAGAAAATATTACGTTCATGCTTATGTGCATGTAGTATAATAATTATACATGTTGCATCATAATTATAGGGTTTGGGCAGAGATTTCTTTTGTCGCTTTTATTTATCATTGTATTGATTGAGTATTTAAATGTACAGAAGTGTGGAACAAGATATCAACTTTTCAGGTTCAGAAACATCAATATGGCATAATATTAATTAATTTTATCTTTGCAGGATTAAATGGTTTATTTCAGTTGGGCAATCCTGGGATAGGTGACCCATCATTTAATTTGTGCACTATAGTATTTATGTTGCAGGCTAAGGGAGGTTACTCGGGTCTACAAGCTATAATTTTGCATTACAGGCCGGCTCCCATGAGATTATTCAGGTTATACATCAGTAGCATGACAAAGGGAGATAACTGAAGTAAACCTTTAATGTGAAGGAAATCCCCTCTGCCTTTCGCTTTCGGGGGCCATTACAGGCAAGCTGTTTTTCCGTGTTCGTGCATATATGTTCGTGTTTCGCAGCATGTCAGGGAGAGGGAAACCAATTAGAAAGCGGCCGACACGTGGGACAAGAGCGGCCACGAAGAAGAAACGCAAGGAACAGGCCCCTTCGCAGTCGTCACCGCCCGGCATGCCCGAAGAAGCGATAACAGCAAGATAACTTGGCGACAGCACGTGGACCCAGTCAAGTTCAAGCAGACAGGACGGCGCCTTCCCAGACTTCGTCAGGTGAAAATGCGAGTGGGTCAAAACCGACTGGGGGTGAGTTTGTTGACATATCCTTTAATCAAGAAGTTACAAACAATATTACAGAATTGGTTTCCTTACCCACTCAGCCGTTAAGTACACAAACACAGTCAGTCACTTCACACGTACAGCCCTCATGTTTCCCTCCCATACTGTTTACCGGGAGTGTGTTTACCCCTCCCATGACACAATGTGGTGATGATGATTTGGGAGCTAACGTTCCTTCAAGTATCAAGCAAAAGATATGTAATGGTAAATATATCAATCTTGCATTGCTGCTGAAATCTGACCGGGAATTACAAGATTATGCTTGTACATCAGCCATTTTCCTTAACTCGGAAAGTCATTTGGAACTGAAACCAAAGGCTTCAGGTAAAGTGATTGAAATCATAACTGAGTGGGCAACTGCATTCACAGTGTATATCAGCATTTTTATCAAAAGTCACCCAGAACAGATACAAGGAATGCTCAAATATATGAACACAATTCGTCTTGGGGCATGTCGTCATACTGGGATTGGTTGGAGAACATATGATGAGCAGTTCAGACTGCGTCAAGAACGAAATCCACAGAATTCCACAGGGGGTCAAACAATGTAGAGCTTTGGATGTTATACATGCAAGTTCCGTCACAGAATTTTGGCTCGTTCCCCAGAAAGGATAGCAAGTCATTTCATGTCCAGAACACAAACAGACATGCCATGATTACAACTACAGGTATTGCAGTCGAGACAAGTGCAAGTTCAAACCCACCTGCTCCAAATGTGGAGGGAATTCCCACCCTGCGTCTAACTGTTTGTCCAAAACACAATCTGGCAAATTTGTATACACTAGGCAGGACCCCAATCAGACCCCAAGTGCTTCAACTTCAGCTTCATAACAATCATCATGATCATATATCATGTACTTTTCAATTTTATGCTTTCATGTATATGCTATTTTCCTAATTACTTCATTTCATTCTAATCATGTTATTACCTGCTTTACTAATGTGTTTGGATATTGAATGTTGTATGAAAAATTGTTCATACATTTATTAAGTCTTTTTGACAGATGTTTGGATTGTAGGCTCATCATTTGTCTATTGGGCTCAGCGGCAGAGTTTCAGATTGAAATTAGGGAGGCATCTTGGCTTACATAAATTGGGGTTCACCTTAAGTTGGTTTGGCAAGAGAGGAATGCACTGGAGAGAGCTCAGACAGCTATTGCTGACCCAGCTTGAAAGGAAACCTCCTCCACGTGTCATGATTCTCCAATAAGGTTCAAATGATCTGGTAAGGTCCCCTATTAGGAATTTGGTTCGCAGTGTCACAGAGGATGTCACATATTTTGCTAAGATACTTCCCTTCACAGTCTTTGTATTTTCTGAGTTACTTCCACGACAGTATTGGCATAGGGACGAAAATTACAAATCGGTGGAGGAAGCGCTTGCATGGAGCAGGCATGAGTGCAGTGCTAAGGATTGGAGGGCGAGCCAAAAAGCATGGTATTCGGGCACAGGATTTGGGGATGTACAGGCATGATGGTGTCCATCTTTCAGATGTAGGGCTTTCCATATTTGTCAATACCTACCAGGAGGCTTTGGAGTACTTCCTTCTGGATGACCGGTCAAAGGTGTTTACTGGCAATTAATGTTAAGTTCTTATTTTTTTCTGTGCTAAGTATTGGAGGGTCTGTGTATAGACACAGTCCTGTGGCGTAATACTTGCGGGTTGGGCATAGTAATTTCCGGAGGCCTTCGATGAGCGCTACCCGCGAGGGCCTAGCTTGCTTAATGACACGTTGGTTGACCTCCTTTGGTGTACCCTGGGGGGATCAAAGTCATTTTGCCTTTTGATGACTCGTTATGTGTTTATCCTCTCGAGTCGCGCTTTCTGTTTGTTCTGTTGCCTTCGGGCCGGCATTCAGTGATTTTGGTTCGCCAAACCTGCAGGGTTATGAAAAATATCATCCCCCTGTAATTTCATGAATAAAGCCGTGGCCATACTCCACACTTAACTTTACATAATCTTTTGGTTATTTATTCATCTAGTATGCTCCAGATTGACATTATCTTGAAATAATGGGCTCTTGTCAGTAACTGTTTATTTGTTACATTTACTGCAAAGTTGAATTATTTTTGCCTCGTGTGTCCTATTCGCGTTATAGAGGTCCTCTCTAGCAGGATGTTTAGCATAAATTGCATGCGGGGTCAGCGCCCACATTTCATTTTCATATTTTGTGTAAATTTGACATTTTCAAATGTTCCATGTAGCAGAGAGCAATGTTGTTGCTGTGCGGCAAGTTCACCATTAAAGGGATTTTGAACATGGTTGATGTTTTGTGATGACAATGAATGCCAGATAGATTCAATTACAATAAACCATTCTACTATTTTCAGAACCTGAAAATTATAAATGTTAATGTTGGTAATAATCGCAGCTTAATTATCTCTGTATGAATATTCTCACAAACTATTCCTGCCATCGTTCTTCCTCTTTTAGTACATACACTTTATAAGACAAACAAGTTTTGAATAATTTGACATACCCAAATGCTGATATTCCCAAATTAGCCGAAGCCACCATTGCAACTGCTCGCGACTGATCTGTTTGTTTACTTAAACTGCCTGGGCACAATGTGTGAAGCCCATTTCTGGTGTCCCCCGCCTTGATATTGCTGGAATATTGCTAAAAGCGGCGTAAAACCATACTCACTCACTCACTCACTCACTCACTTAAACTGCCAGTAAACAGTAAACTTTGTGCCCTAAAAGTGGAACATGCACACGTTTGCCATCATCAAAAAGCTGGCCCTTGGAGCTGTACATCGCGTTCTCGCACCACACTGGATAATACCACATGCACTTCAGAGAAGTTGCCATGTGGTGGGATGTTCAGTTATACATCTCGACTCTTACGAAGTGCACACAAATTAATCAGTATCTTTCTGATCTCCATCGTTATTTCGTCCATTGACCATATGCGGACATAAGGTGTTTATGTTTACAGTCCTGATGACTTAACAAAGACACTCGCTTTCTCGCCCTTAGATGATGTCTTGCCATTTCAGTCTTTTAACTTTTAAAATGCCAAAGATACGTAAAGACTAAAACATCATATTACAGCACCATCGTTTTGCGAACTCCACATCGCCTCCGAAACCGGGAACCTGTCAAAAGTGAAACTCATCTTGTCCCAGGGACGGGCGGACATTAAAGCAAAGACTGGATCGGTTGTACACCGGTGATGTTTGCAGCTGGTAATGGGCACCGAGAAGTGTTTGAGTTACTTTTTAGTAAAGGATCCAGCATGTCACTCGTGAATAAAAGAGGTGACAACATCCTTCACTGTGCCTGTTGGGGTGGAGATGGTGAAGTATATACTCTCACATGACATGGAGGACATCAACAGTAGAGGATGGAAGAAGAGGACACCAGTGATGGCGTCAGCATTGCATGGAAATAAAGAAGTGGTAGAGTTACTCGTGGTTGAAGGAGCTGATGTGTCACTCGTATCTGAGAGGGGTGAAAACATCCTTCATCTTGCCTGCCAGGGAGGACGTGTGCAGGTGGTCAAGTATGTCCTCTCAAAAGACACGGTGCGTATCAACAGTAGAGGATGGAAGAAGAGGACACCAGTGATGGCGGCAGCATTGCATGGACATAAAGAAGTGGTAGAGTTACTCGTGGTTGAAGGAGCTGATTTGTCACTCGTATCTGAGAGGGGTGAAAACATCCTTCATCTTGCCCGTCGGGGAGGACATGTGGAGGTGGTCAAGTATGTCCTCTCACAGGACAAGGTGGGCATCAACGCCCAAAACAACAAAGGACAAACAGCAGCCAAAAGATAGCAATATCCCAGGATCGAGGAGACATGCTTGATCTTCTTGTGTCGCATGGTGCTGTCATGTAATGTTTGCGTAGACATTCATATTATTAAAGACAATGTGTTGAATACAATTATGACGTTCACGTGTTGAATACATTGATGTTGTTACAGACATTGAAGTGTAGAATAAAATCATGTTGCTACTGACACTGGCATGTGGAATCAAATCATGGCATTACTGATATTGACGTGTTTATTACATTGATGTTGTTACGGACATTGACGTGTGGAATGTTGTTACTGACATTGAAGTGTAAGTGCATAGCCAAAAGAAACATCTAGTGTCGATTGTACGATTCAGACTATATCATGTGCATGTGTTTATGATCCACTATCAAATAGTTGGTTGGTTAGTATGTTGTTTTACGCCGCACTCAGCAATATTCCAGCTATATCCCGGCGGTCTGTAAATAATCGAGTCTGGACCAGGCAATCCAGTGATTGATATCATGAGTATCCAACCACGCAATTGGGAGCAATGACATGCATAAACAAAGTCAGCGAGCCTGACCACCCCATCCCGTTAGTCGCCTCTTACGACAAGCATAGTCACGTTTTACGGCAAGCATGGGTTGCTGAAGAGCTATTCTACCCCGGATCTTCACGGGTCACTATCAAATAGTAATGAGACCAGACGTTCGCGAAAAGGTCAGCGTATCCTGTCCCACCAGTGGCACTCGTCACAAACGCGTGCAAAGGCAAGTCAATACTTTACCTGGAAAAAAACAACACGGAAACATATGGTACAAGTCATAATAAGGAATTGCTTTGGACATAATTTTTGTCACTGATGCGTCAAATTTGGAAATGTCCTCCACATGTCTACCATAAAGCTTTTTGAAAGCTTTACTGAGGCCTTGAATATTATTGCCTTGATCAAACTTCACGCTCTTTGAAATCTTTGAAGAGAGAGCATGCTCGATTGTATCTCAAAAGTTGTGAAATATAAGCACCAAAGGCTGGAGCTGCTGGAATATTGCTCGACATATAGGGAAAGTTTACTAGTGGAAAGTTGAAGCGATCTCTTGTCATCGAGTCTTGTGAGTTTTGTCAATCTGAATCTTTATGCATAGATCTTAATAACTTTACTTCTTGCCTGATTACTTGCACCCAAATATTAGGAAGATGTTGACAGTGAGGAAGTTGAGCATTTGACCTATCGTCTTCTCACTACACTTCAGTTGGCATTTGCTTTCATTTTTCACAAATAGTCTTGAAACTCCGATTATATATATATAACTATCTGTGGTCACCACGTTTTGGAACAAAATCCCCATGGATCAAGGAATGAACTTTTCCCTTACGTTTGTCCTGTGGGATAGTGGTGTGAAATATTTTGATAGAATGGAGCGTGGTTCTTTTCTGAGAATGCAAATCGTCAAGCAAATTATTTGAGTTTTTAAGAAACAACATGGTATTAATTCAATCTCATTAAAATCAGAACCTAGTTCTCGCTACTGCTAAACAAAGATCTGAGGACATCCCATTACGGGTCAAGTCAGATCGACCTTTCGCGAACTCTGACCGACCAATGGAATTACTGACAAGAAATCTACAATCAGAAGGCAGCTTTCTCGTTCTTTACGGCACTAATTGCGACTAACTTGCGACTATGATTCGAAACATATTTTGACAAATTCTCGCTTAAAAATTTGAAACCTGAACAAAAGAACATTCTCGAATGGCTAATATATGGTCTAGATTGCATAGATTTAGTCGTTAAGGCCGTAACTACCCCGTTATAAAGCTTGCATGATCTGGTAAGCAACGCTCTGATTGGTCAAATGAAAGGTCGTTCTGACGTTACCCCTAATGGGATGTCCTCAGATCTTTGTTTAGCGGCAGCGAGAACTGAGATCTGATTTTAATGATATTGGGTATTAATTCCACTTTTCTCAAATACTTTCTGTGAATATAAAGAAAATCCTTCCTTTATTGTATTAAGGATTATAGTGAGTCTTTGAGACATGGATTTGGTGGAACATTTGCTGAACCCAGTAATATATTTCTCTTTGTACGGATCTGTATGGAGCTTTGAAATCCAGAACAAAAGAGGAATGGACATGTCTTCAGGTTTTGGAGTCAAGTCAAAAGTTGACAATACTGACGTACTTATGGTTTGGGCAAATTTCTTCCTCAGTTAACAAACCGGCCTTGTAATTGACATTATTTGATATGTCACGTATATAGTGCACCAAGTTCTCTGATCACACAACGAATAAAGTGATGCTTACATATAATGGAGGGGGGCACGGGTGGCCGAGTCGTCTTAGGCCCCGCAATTCGTAAACCTATTATTGTGGTTTCGAATCCAAGTTCGCCCCGATTATGTTTCTAGGCTCGCCAGCACCATACCCGTGCTCGTGGGTTTCACCAGAGTAGTAATCCCAACTCACTCACTTACATATAATGGTTATGTTATCTGAGGGAACAACTACGAACGTTTCATGTAGGGCAGCCAGACGTGGGATGGCAGCTGGCTGGGACAGAATAGGTTTATACCAATTCCGTTTCCTCTTTGTGTATTCTGCCATTGACATCATCACGAACTGACTTAACCCACATTCAACAGGTTCCTATTTTCACATTCTGAATAAACACAAAATATAGCATAAGTTACACCTAAAACATATATATTTGAAAGGTTCTTAACGATATTATTGATAGACTAATACTATGGATGGCTGAAGTTCGCCCTGATATAGCAAGCAATGCTGAAAACCAATATGGTAAGCCCACAGAACCAATGTCGCTGTTGCAACTGTTTGTTTGTTTGTTTGATGTTAAACGCGACACTCAGCATTGTTCCAGCTATATGACGGCGGTCTAAAAAATAATCGAGTCTGGACCAGATAATCCCAATTAATGGCCGACTGTTCCCTTACTCCAGACATGATACATTCCAAAATACAAATAGTAGTCAGTGTCGACAATACTGTGGGGTACAATTGTTTGAAGCACCCGTAAATATTTGCGACCGGATTCCGTCTTGGCGCAAACGGGCATACCTAAAACAATTGTCAACTCGTTGCGTAATGGTTCACACATTTTCCCCATATATTTTTTATATTTCAGATGCAATTTAAAGCACATCGGGAAGTGTGGAATTAAACAGTATGATTGAATACATTCAACTGTGTCTTTGGTATATTTTTAGATGCAAGACATATGTAAAATAAATATTTATGAGGGATTCTTTGACGAAGAACTTGAAATCATACGCGCATTCTGATTGGTTTGTCGTATATTCGCACATAACATTCATCGATAGGGGGACGAGTCTTCTTGCAGGTTACGGAAAGGGGCGAGTGTTGACGAATGTAGGTCGGTCTGACGTGACCCGTAATGGGATGTCCTCAGATCTTTGTTTAGCGATAGCGAGAACTAAGATCTGATTTTAATGAGATTGCGAACTGATTTATCCGGCAATACGGACTAAATTACATATCGACGCTTGATATTCATACGCCACTCTGACAGTATACTGAAGCGTACGTAAAAAATATATATAAAGCTCATTGTCAATTCACAGTTAGCATTCCAACATTCTTGACAACGTTGTCATATGTTGTTCATAAGGCATTGGAAATAGTGTTGAGGGATCGCATGCCATTCTTTGACTTATCCCTGAGCCACTTGCTTGAGGTTGACAGCATTGAGGTGATGTGATCGAACTCGCCACAAGTCGGGTGAATATGCGGGCCAAACAATATGCTGACCGTTCTGCTGTTGCAGGGAGTTCGTCACCATCCTCGCACAATGAGATCGTGCGTTGTCGTCCTGTAACCAAGCTCCTGGTCCAGCCCGCTGCAGAAGTGGTATTACCAGAGCCTGAACAATCTTGTTGAGAAAACGCTAAACATTGACGACGTACAGAGGGGTTCTGTGGTTTATTAATATCCCTGCCCATACCATCACTAGTTCTCCTCTAAAAGAGGGGCGGTCGGTTAGCCTAGTGGTTAAAGCGTTCGCTCGTCACGCCGAAGACCCGGGTTCGATTCCCGACACGGGTACACTGTGTGAAGCCCATTTCTGGTGTCCCCCGCGGGGATATTGCTGGAATAATGCTAAAAGCGGCGTAAAACCATACTCACTCACTCACTCCTCTAAAAGAGCAACAATGACATCAGCAAATCCCTCTCCTTGACGAGGGGGCACGGGTAGCCCAGTCGTCTAAGGCGCCGCGATTCGCTGTGCAGAGTTGCGTCCCTTGGGCACGCCAGAAACCTATGATTGTGGGTTCGAATCCCGGTTCGCCCCAATTATGTTTCTAGGTTTGTCAGCACCATACCCGTGCTCGTGGGTTTCACCGAAGTGGTAAACATCTGAGACCTGCATCACTTCGGGCTTTCCTCCCACATCAAGCTGACACGCCGTGATATAACTGGAATACTGTTAAAAGCGGCGTTAAACCCAACTCACTCACTCATTCACTCTCCTTGACGATGAAATACACGAGCCCGGCCATCATTGAACTGGAGCGAGAAGTAAGGCCTCGGTGGGCTTTTGTTTTTCAGAACGGGGGCAATTCTGAACAGCATTAGCTTAAGTGTTGATTTCATACACGTAGTTACAGAAAGTGACGTTTTGTTGACATTCATCCTGTTACAGCCACATAGAATACTAAACGAGCTCCCATGTAATACCAATTTTATGAAACGAGTGAATAGTTCTGGTATCTGACGAGCAAAAGCGAGTTTCATAAAATTGGTATTACACCGGAGCGAGGTCAGTATTTTATTCATTACTCGTTATTTGTACCTACGTAAACATCAGCTGATTGACTCCGTAAGTCGCTTCCCGAGTTCAAATCAGGCTATGCATATGAATACAAAGTCATGTATATAGTCATCGTCAAGTGCAACTATGATATCAAAATTTTAGCAATTCCAATGGAGATAACACCCGAACACTCTTCGTGTCCACAACAAATCTACTTTAATTGAAATTGACGTGATGATTACATTCATCTTGTTACAGACATTGACGTGACGATTACATTCGTGTTGTTACAGACATTGGCGTGATGATTACATTCATGTTGTTACAGACACTGGCGTGATGATTACATTCATCTTGTTACAGACATTGACGTGACGATTACATTCGTGTTGTTACAGACACTTGCGTGATGATTACATTCATGTTGTTACAGACACTGGCGTGATGATTACACTCATCTTG